AGCACCCAGTCTCACCCTGACTGAGAAAGTAGTTGAGGAAGTGGACACGTTTTGCTATCTGGGCAGCTATATCTCACCTATCGGCTCGCATTCAAAAGGCTCGGTTGGCATTCACCAACTTCAAATACTTTTGGCCCCGTCGCGACATCCGGTTGTCTGTGAAGAGTCGAGTATATACTGAAGCCGTTCTGCCAGTCCTGCTATACAGCTCAGAGACTTGGTTACTACGGGAACAAGATGAAAATAGAATGTCGGTGTTCGAATATCGCTGTCTACGTCGCATTGCACGAGTCTTGTGAGGAAATCTGACGAGTTTTGCTGAGGTTAGGCGTAGAGCTTCAGGTAATTGCGGTCGTCCACTGGAGCAAGTGATCGACCTCCATAGATTACGTTGGCTGGGGCATGTGTTATGCATATTGCCAAATAGATTGCCACGGCGAGCGATGTTCGCCGAGGCAGGTATCGGCTGGAACAAGGTCAAGGGCGGTCAAACGAAGACCTGGCACGAGGGTATGAAAACTCTAACCAGGAGACCTCGTTAGGCTCTCCGGCTGGGGACCTCCGGATGATGGTCACCAATGGCTAGTGAGAGACATTGAGTGATATGGCTAGGTGTCCCAAACAGTGGTGCTCGTGCATCCACTCATTATTCTCCTAACACTACTGCGTTTGAATTCTGCATCTTCCGCTTGAATTTGCTTTCAACATTCTTATCTTCATTCTGTTCTTCCATCCTAATGGGGCACCAAAAGACAGTAACCAAAACCGGTGCACGAAAGTGCATCGTATTTTTGAAGTGTTCTTCCACGTTTCGAGGTAAATTCACCGTTTACGCCTAGGCCACCTTAGCTGACTGAAATTCTCCACTTTCTCTTCGACTTTACCTTCAACTTTCTTGTTTTTGTTCTAAATATTCCATCCAAATGGGCAGCCAAAAGACAGCCTCCAAAACCACCGCATGAAAGTGCATGGTTAGCGGTTGTACAAATTGAAACTGAAACTGGATACTCAATATATATTGCCGCACATTTACTCCCGGGATCAGGAATATGCCATTCGTATCGGTTCCGTTTTGAACACATTGTACAATGCCTTTTCTATTTTGGATTGTTCAACTTGTTCAACCCAACTACATCGGTCAGAACATCCCAACTCATCGTGCACTTCATTTCGGAAAATTTGTGAAGGAACTGGTTATCGGGATTGCTCTTGTGGATTAAAATCAATCATCAGTAAAACAGTAGTTTATCGGTGAAGATCGCACATGACTCACTGATTCACAAGTCTGTCATAGAACTTAAAAGATCAGTCAAACCCTAGTGTGAACTAGCCATACTTTCCAAATTGTGAGCCTTTTTTCTGGGCCATGATTGATTGAACGACGACCTATTGAGCTGGTTCAATGTGCAGCCCCGAACGATCTTTTGCAAATCTGATAGCATAAAATTGCTACCTAGCTGCAAACGGCTTTTGTTGCTTGACCCTGGAAACATCCTGGTATCCAGTGCGAATGATAAAAAGAAGCATGTATAAGACTAAGTGTAAAATTGAAAAGTTCATGTTTCAGTATTCAGTTTGCACAATCATTAACTTTGCAATTTAGTGTCCCAGTATTGTTGGCTGTCTTATAAAAATAATGACGAAAGACTAAATGAAACAGTTGAACCAGTGAGCGTAAAATCTAAATATGGATAAAGGTAAACTAATTCTGCATTTAAAATGAATGAACGCTACTATTTACGAAATTTAGTCGTTTTAACCAGCGCCTCCAACAATTGATTAGGTTGATAACGAGTTACCCAGCCAGGAAGGCATAGAGATATCCTATGCTAATACCAGAGATGTACCAAGTTACAAATGCCAACTGGAACTTATGAACATGTTCTGATATTTCTTCCCAGATTAGTATATAAGTAACCTAGTAGATCTGTTCGCTTATAGCTATCTCGGTTACGACAAATTTGAGAATGAGAAAAGCTTTTGAATAGCATCGTTTAATTTTAGGCTTCGCAATAGTAATATAATAGTAACGTTGCTTATTTGTAGGAATCATTTACATGCAAGTTATGCCTTAAAGACTTAATATGCCGTTCAAAACGGAGATTTCTCACTCTGAACTTTGCTATGATCGAGATGGCTGTCATAGAATAATGTTATACTAATATACAACACTCCGACTGAACATTCACCAGACATCACCTTCAAGCACTGTTCGCCCAATAGAGTTTCGCTCTGTTTAGAGTTGATCAGCAGTGCGTACTCACCAACCTATTCAGGACTGAAAACCCGACTGGGGTGTCCATAGGAATGTGGGTAAGAATCAAGTTTCAAGGAATGCCAGCTAATGTGCATAAGCTGCAAGTCACACATTACTACTCATGAGTAGTTGCGAGTTGAACATTAATTTGGGGAGCCTTCTCGACATGCCTTATCAGGGAAATATATATCCGATCCGTATGGGGGACCTGATTCAGTGGACCGTTTTAAATTGGATTCAGTAGAACATTTATTGTGTAACTCTGCATTATTTTGGGTATACACTTGATGTTATTTGTCACAAAGGTTCATATTCGAACAGAGCTGTCACTGCAATTAAGATATGGTAGGGCATGAAAAACAGGTTTCACCACCATCCTGTAAACATTTCTCACCGCCTTTTGGCCATGTCAAATTATGCTGCAGCTGAGTTCAGCGCAAGCAGATCGCAACGATATTTAGATCAAAATAAGGTTGGCGACGATGTGTGATGTGTGGAGTAGATGGTCCTAAAACATCCTTATAACAACTGTCTCGACAAAAACGCATTACTTGAAAACTGTATTGCGTGAAATACATTATTCAAAAAGGTTACAAAGGTTTCAGTGTTTATCTTTAAACCTAGCTCTCCCTTCCGAAATCACAAATTACAAACATAATTCCTCAACATTTCAGACCTTCGTTTTATTCTTGCATCTGTTTCCTATGCGTCAACTCATTATTGACACAACAAACATGTATCTTCTTCGAATCTCGCGTGCAGACCTTGTATCATCGCAAGCTTCTTTTGAGCTGGATTTTATTTTTCATGCTGCACTTGCATAACAGAAGGCAGGTCTATAATAAAGTGTAATAAAGCATACACGAAAAGATTAAAAAATGTTATGACAAAACTAAATGGTGATGCACCAAGGCTGAAGTTGGATAGAAAAATCTTCAGTTGGCTCACACACGTGTACTCCACGAGAAAGTTTAGAGTTTCAAACCTTGAGATCAGCCGATGAATATGTCCAAATGATAAGCTCTAAGGAAAACAAAAATAAATTCTGTTTACTCCTAATTTTACGATCGAAATACTGGAGATTGCAGGTGAAGAGGCAGTCTGCATGAGAAGCAAAGGAAGAACGTGGTTGTTTCTCGAGAATGTAAAAGCAAATAATATAGTGATCATTCATTTTTTGTTTATCCTCCTTGCAGACCAATCCCAATCCGATCAGCTCGATATGATTATCTGTTGTGAAACAAATCAGCACGCGCATGACAATCACGACCAGACCATTCCTCCATTGGGTGATCTCGCCGTATCTCAGCTCAGCGATGAGGATGTCGGTGACGAGCATGTTTTGAACGGAGCCGGAAGTGGACTGGCAGTAAAGAATAATACACCTTCAGAAATCGAAAAACCTGACTCTCAATGGTCTGAACGGACGGATCATATTGCTCAGGTGGATGAAGATGGAAAGCCTCTAACTTCCCTACCGATTACATCAAAAGCCGGTGATTTGAATATGCAGGTTAATTTGGCTGATCCTCCGCAAGGTAATTCAGCTCAAACCACCGCAGCTGATGTTATTCCCACGGACCCAATCGCTGCCACAATTATGGGGGTGGCACCAGAAAAGGAAAACTGTTATGCGATTTTGTCTAGCGTGGATAGTTCACATCCTGAAGAAACGAAAGTTCCCAACGTCGAGTCAACTCCCACCGTGAGCAACTCAGGTAACAAGAAAAATTTAAAATTGTTGGGTGAGGATGAGGAAAACAAAGATTCCCCAGTAGTTCCTATGTCTCCTGATGATTTTGTCACTAATAAATCAAAGAAGAAGCATTCGCATGTCACCGCCATCAAACTGCCTGAGGTGAGTGAAGTCCAAAGCGCCGTAAAACAAGCAATCATCATCAAATCCCCAACACCAGCGCAGAACCGTACTAAATGTGATGAAGATTCGGACAGCACACCAAACACTGATTTATTAGAAGATGGTATCTATCGATCTCATGAAACCCAATCTCAATTCAATCATACATTGCCAATTTTGGTCCATCGACGCATCTCCCGTTTTATACGCACTCGAGATACCGGAACGCTAGTCCTAACGGAGAAGTTGGACGCACAAACATCTATGTATGTGTGTGCTGAAGGCAGTCAGAGCGATTCGCAAAATATCATTCCCGAAATAGCCGATTTGTCTACAATATCTGACACGGGTACCTCAGTCAGCTTACTTACATCAGCCGAAAATCCCCAACAAAAAAGTACGGCCACTTCAGAAAGACGTCCATCTAAAATGGAGAAGGCGTTACAGTTGTCCAAATGCATACCACTGCCGGCCGTGAAATATGATGGAGGAGGATCCAAAACTAAATATGAGGAGGATATGACTACCTTGGTGTCTTCAACCAATACTGAAACCGAAAGTGACACTGTTCTGATTGACAATAAAGCGTCCAAGGAATCACGTGAACACTTCGAACTGTGTCGTCACGCAGCGCCATTAGTGGAAAAGATTAGTTCCTACACGGAACACAGCACAGCGTGTCAAATCTTGCTGCAGCCCGAGAAAGACTCGGAGGAGCCGCTGTCCAAATTCAGTGTGGTTGGTGTTCAAACTGAAACCGTAATTATTGTGGACGATGAAAGTTACTCTACTGACGGTCCGTACAACGTGGACAAGGAGAGAGAAAGTATACTTCGTACACCCAGTCTAGCTGACGGAAAACAAAACCGATCCAGTATTGTGGAAGGTTTGTTGGGTGAGGAACCAACCACCGCGCCGATTGTCCCGTCCACAGTACAGCCAACAACTCAAAACGCTTCGCTTAGAGGAGGAGGATCACGAAAAAACAGTGTGGCACGTGCACAAAAATTGGAAGAACCAAATCAATACGAGTCCACGGCCCAGGTCTCTATTAATCCGAATGAGGACACCAAATACTCCGCTCAAGTCGAATTGAACGTGGAACTCGAACAAACCTCCGAGAACCCGGAAGAAAGCACATTTGATCGGACAATACAAGAGGATACCATCAAACCTAAAACCGAGGAAATAGACCGTTGTTCGATGGAGCTAACAGACTTTTTGCAAGTGGTCCAATCAGCTGATGATTTTGAAGTCCTCGGAGACGAGTCATCAGTGACTGAGAAACCAGACATACCACAATTAAAAGCCGGAGTGAAAGAACCCACTTCATCCGACTATATTAGGACAAACGGGGATGGGAACGTAAGCGGTAATTTGGTTGAACAAAGACGGCGATCCAGTGAGAAAGAAAAACTTCCAAATACAAATAACTCGAACGAAGAAACGAAAGACGCAAAGGACGGGAATGGTATACCTGATCAGAATAGCACATCATTAAATGACTCAAAACCGGAAACCACAGAAGAGTAACATTTAATTAACTGGAGGTAACTTGCTTTTCTTATCTGACCAGATCGACAGGTACAATTAGATAGTATTCGAAATTTGAACCACTGAACCGAATATTGGCCAAAAGTTATTTCTTCTGTTTGGTTCTGTGAACACATTCCGTCGTGTGCAAACGAGCTCGGTTCTGCGTAGGAATTAAAGTCGTTTGAGGTGCTATAAGTCGATTTCAACCTTATCCGTTCTCGCACCCATTCATCACTTTTCAATCCCACCATACCCGTTCAGTCTAAACACAAAACAGGTCGTTATTTCTCGCTCTCTCTCTCTCTGGACAATATGGGTTTCTATGTTTGGTTCTAGATTTTCCACTTGCTTATATTCTCGTTTCCTTTCACAGAGAGAAAAATAAAGGATCAGTATTTGATTTGTCTTGACATGCGTTTGTTCTGCATTGTGATATGTATCATGCAAAGGAACATTATGCGCAAGAACCACAGTTTCATCACACTAGATTGTCTAAATTTATTAGGTTCCACGGTTGAAGTTTCACTCGAACTGTATGATACACAGTGACTATTGGTTTGGAAATGCGTGCCTTGATACGAAATCAAAATGGATTCATCGTCTAAAGTACAGCGAACACAAGGCAGACAGAGTAGCTTATTCAGAAGAGATATACTTGGACTTGTTGAAATATCGTTTAAATGCTACACAGACACAAATGGACGGTGTTGGGAAAAATCGACAATCTATTGCATGAAATTTAAAAGCAACTTCCTTATAGTTGAAGAAAATTCATTTTATGTTCGATCCCCAAGAGAGACGATTTTGCATAGTGTGATAGGGCTTATCTGCTATATGTTTATGTATGCGTCATAAGGGGAACTATGTTTGGTAACAGGTTTTCATGTTACGACTGATCAGAAAAGATGATGCAAAAACAGCAAAAATGGAAGCAATTCACTTCCGCAGTTGGTGTCCAAAAACCCACAAGGTTGTACAGCATTACGAACGTTGGAGCATCCGCATCGAACGGATTTGTTGTTTCAGGAATAAAAGAGGAAATGTTGGATCTGTCAACCATGATCCACATATTTGAATAGGTATTCTGATCAAGGTTTGAATCCCTGTAGATTTGACTGATATGTAAAGCTAACCATTCCTAACAAGAAGATAACTCTTAGGTTTCTTTCATTATTCTACCTGTTTGTACAGCGGAGAAAAGAAAACTAATGTGCGGACCAATGTACATATTACTTTGTTGGTAAAACCGACAAAATGTTGGGAACGAAAACAGTTGATTACATTCCCAAGTATGGGAAACGATGAATCAATCTAACCATTAAAGCGCGAGCGCGACACATAGGTCAAAATTGGAGACCACTCGCATATGATTGAAAGCAGTCGAAAGGTTAATTTATTCGCATCTTTCAAGGTTAAGCTACGTCATCCTATTTACATCACTTAAGAAAATTAGAGAGGTCATATTGACCGCCCAGCGTAAGCCAAACCTGTACATCTGATATTTCATTCAAGCGGTTTTGACTTTAAATCCTGTGGGCTAAAAATATCAATATTGTGTCACATGTCGGTCACGATCTACGGATTATAAGCAACGCCTTGTAAACAACATGAGCATCATCAATTTACGGAGGAACGGTAATATTTAACGAAGCAAACAAGCGCGGGATATAAAAATTTCAGGTTTTTAGGTCAGTGTGAACGAGATACCAATATCGTAGGAAACAACGTTCATGTAGAGCTGTCTAGGAACTAGGCAATTAACTCATATACGATCGGTGCAAGCTATTGAAACACTCCCAAAGAGCGGTTGCATACATGAATAAATACATACAAACATACATTCATAAACTTGTATGTGACTAGCATCCAAATGTGTTTTGGCTCCCCCTCTGTCTCAACGAGATGGGGCAGTGCGTGCAGACTTCGCAAACTTCGAGACGCCACAACTCACAATTCTTGACCATTTTTCTCGCTCCACGTAATCACCAACTAAAATTGTTACAGATAATGCCGGTTCTCTTCTCATCAGGAAAGAGCAATGGTAACATGGTACAACCTTCAATAAAGACACGGTCGAGAATGAACCAAACACCGGAGTATAGTCCTCGCCTACATAAGGAGCACCCAGCCTTTTTCAACTCGCCTCTTTCTACAACTTAGTTCAAAGACAATACAATAACACCTGAATCGTGAAGGCCGGCATGGCATTTGCACTCAGTACGTACGTGGTGCCTAAGTCCTTATCGTTCATCAGCTGCTTGAACACCTTGAAGGTGAAATATCTTTACATTTATAACTAGTTATACGATGACCCACAGTGCTGCTTATGGAAATGTATTGTCATATGATTTCCTTCTAAAAGTGTATTATTTAAGCTATGTATCCCCACCCTGAAAGCCCATTTAGCACCGTACTCGTGTTCAGTATCAGCTCAAACCAGTGACTTCTGTGTTCAATAAAATTCGGTAGTGCAATGCTCTTGAAATATGCGCTGAATCAGCTTTCGGTAGAGCACAGATTTTTGCAGGGAATTGATTTTTTAATCTGCGAAACCCTCAGACTGAAACTAAATCTTT